TTAATTTTTATGTTATTATATCTTAATTCAGTCCATTTCAATTAAAAGTTACCAAAGTTTGTCTTAGAATCTCATTTTAAAAATATTAAATTCTACTAAAGTGTAGTTTTTCCATTATTTTGTTTTAGTAAATATTCTATATTCTGTTATTTTATACTAGGTACTTTAAAAATTTTTTTATTGTTTTTATAGATGAGAAGAATGTGGTGCCAAGCAGTAAATTGACTTGATTTGGTAGATATTTTGTTTATATTTTTTATTTAATTCTAAATAAAATAATATAAAAGTAATCTCTGTTTTTTATTAACATATAATTTTACATTAAATACATAGTATTTAAAATATATGTTTTAAAATATATACATACAATAATTCAAAGCAATAAAGTAGGTTGCAAACTATTTATATTTGATGAAATAGTAATCAAAACAATAGTTGCAACTTGCTTTATAGTTTTAGATATTCAAGATCATTGAAAATGAGTGTAATTATTCCCGATTTGAATATATCGGCAAATGGAAACAGTACTGCAGCTCCGAGCGTCGCTGCAAAACATGTTTTTGTGGGAGATAGAGTCCTTAATCTAAATTAGTTCTATTATCTATGAATGACACTAATGACTGTTTCCAATTTTTTCCTATTTTACTGTCACCCCTGCAGACAGCTGCTTAAAAAGCCAAAACAGTGCCCAATACCTATTAAAGATCAGCTACGGGCGGACTTTGTTTACTTCATCAGCTGTACAGCCACTTAGATGTGGGTTAGATTCCGTTTCATATTTTTTGTCCAAGGTTGATTTTGGACAACTCTTTGATTTTAGGTATTGTATTATTGTAGTGCAAAGCAATTTATTTTGGTGTTGAAGTGAGGCATAAAACTACTACTAAGATATATGGGTCACTCGGTTTCCACTTGTATAAAAATAGAATTTTAAAATTACACGTTGTGTAAAAGTGATTTAACCCTAAGTGCTGCTTTATTTTTACTTATCGTGATTTTTGTGTGTGTTTTTGAGATACTTTCAATTCATCAATAAAGCTTAAGTGGGGTGTGTTTTTGGTGCTATGCCTCATCTTTGTTGTGTTCCTGGTGGAAAGGATGATTACTAAGGATGGTTATTACTAGAGCAGCCTAAAGTGTCGGAAGAGCAAGAAGAGTGGGTTTTGAGTTATAAATCAGAGAATTTTAGTAGAAAATATTTTGACAAATTTAAAATAATATTCTCCCATGGTGGTATTAATGAAAACTGGACAATTATGTTTTATTTTATTCATATTGTGGATTCTTCCTCCAAGATGTTGCTGAAGTTCAGCTTGATGAGTTAAAACACGTAAGTAGGTATTATGATCTAGGAAAATAAAGAATATGTGTATTAGAGATCATGAAAAGATTATTATTTTGAGTTCAAATTTACTACAAAAAGATTTTTGTAAAACAAAGGGCTAATTACAGTTTAAAAAGAAGAATGTGTTTTTGTTTGATAATATATAATGTATGTTAAGCATAACATATATTTGTTCAGTAATTTTTAATGAATAGTATTGATTATTTATAATATGAAATTAATATCAAATATTTAGAGTGATGGCTGGAATACAAATATGAATAAAATAACAATAAAATTGGTATATTTGCATAATACAAAGAATTAAGTTTTAAGAATAAGGTGTTACTAATGCACTAAAATTCATATTTCTTTGTTTTAGTGGTCTAATGTTATTTACATTTTACGTAAGAATTATACCGTATCATCAGAAAAATCGGCGTCTAGTTGACGGAAATGAACATCATTAGCATTCCTAAATAACTGTACACATAAGGAAAATAATTAACTAGGGTACAATCTTGGAAAATTTGATGATTCTTAGTCTTGATTTCTAAATATTCTAAATTTTTTGATTTTCTTGGAATTTAGGTTCAGGAGAAAAACGCTAATTGATTTTTCATTTGGTTTCATTATTTTTATTTGGTTTAAAAAAAAAAAACAGTTCAGCTAACATTGGCCTCCATCAGTGTTGTGTCCTTATGAACAAAATAGTGTCGAATATAATCCAAAAAATTGCATATAAAATATTCACACCACGCACATAATGTTTACTGCGTACTCCATAGTCAATGTAGATAATTTTAGTGTTAAGAATGTAATTTTAAAAATATGTATTCAACTTTTTGATAAGTTTATATTAGTTTATTAATTTGAGTAAAACATTTATGAGGTGTGAATTATATTGTATATGTAATTTTTTTGGATTATATTCGATACTATTATGACACAACACTATGAAAACTATAGTTAGCCGAAGACGTTACAAATAAATAAAAATAATGAAAACAAATGAAAACTTAATCAACGTTTTTCAAACCTCTCAAGAAAATCAAAATTACAAAATAATTTAACATATAAAATGCCAGCGATCTTCATTCTTAGCCATCACTTGAACGCCTTTTTAGATAATATTGTATTATTTGTAAATATAATTTTCAGAACATTGATACTTGCAAAATACATATAAATTTTGTGAATGCAAATAATATTACATCACTGTGAGTAGATATTAAATGTTTTGTTAAATTAGATCATTTTCAAACCCCAAAATTTAAAATATATTTACATTTTACCCATTATCTATGTACCTATACATTATTTGTACATTTAGCAAAACATTTGCTGCATTTGTATGGTTCATAGTTTGTTGCCAAAGTATTTATTACTATAAATGGAGTATATATGTTGTAGTTATTAGCTGTATTATGTATATTTCATTGAAACTATATCATTTTTAAAATACAAACCAAAAATCTGAGGAATAATTATGTTTTCCATGTATTCTACAACATATTTATTAATCCGTTATATCTAACTAGCGTGACGTCATAAATCTCGCCAGTAGGCTGATCTTTTAATAGAAGGCACTGGCCGAAACAGCGAAATGTTGAGGCACTGCCGTTCTTTAAAAGATCAGCCTGGGGGCGGACTTTTGTTTACTTCATCAGCTGTACATACTTAGATATTGGGTTAGATTCCGTTTCAATATTTTGTCGGTTGATTTTTGGTTTTAACTCTTTGATTTTTGGTATTATTTATTGTGTAGTGCAAAACTAATTATTTTTGGTGTTTAAAGTGACATAAGAAACTACTACCAGATATATGGTCACTCGGTTTCGCATAAAAATAGAAAAAATTACACGTTGTGTAAGTGATTTAACCTAAAAGTGCCCATACATTTTTTACTTATCGTGATTTTTGTGTGTTTTTTAAGACTCTAACAATTCATCAATAAAGCTTAAGTGGAGTGTGTTTTTGGTGCTATGCCTCATCTTTGTTGTGTTCTTGGTGGAAAGGATAGTTATACTAGGCAGCCTAAAGTGTCCAGAAGAGCAAGAAAAGTGGGTACGAGTTATAAATCAAGAGAATTCTATTGAAAATATCTTTAATAAATTTAAAAATAATATTCTCCCATGATGGTATTAATGAAAACTGGACAATTATGTTTATTTTATTCATATTGTTGAATCTCCACTCCAAGTGTTGATGGTTCAGCTTCGATAGATTCAAACACGTAAGTTGGTATTATGATCTAGGGAAAAATAAAGAATATGTGTATTAAAGATCATGAAAAAGATTATTATTTTGAGTTCAAATTTTAAAAAAGATTATTGTAAAGTATATATATAATGTATGTCAAGCATAACATATATTTGTTCAGTAATTTTTAATGAATAGTGTTGATTATTTATAATACCAAATTAATATCAAATATTTAAGTGATGGCTGGATACAATATGAATAAAATAACAATAAAATTGGTGTATTTGCATAATACAAAATTAAGTTTTAAGAATAAAGGTGTTACTAAAAATTCTAAAGTTGTATTTCTTTGTATTAGTGGTCTAACGTTATTTGTTTATGTAAGAATTATACCATATCATCGAAAAAATCGGCGTCTAGTTGTGGCTTGGAAATGAACATCGATGACATTCCCTAAATAACTGTACACAAAATAATTAACTAGAATTTTACAATCTTGGAAAATTTATTCTTGAACCTTGTTTCTAAATATTCTAAATTTTTTGTTGATTTTCTTGGGGATTTAGGTTCGGGAAAAACGCTGATTAAGTTTTCATTGGTTTTCGTTATTTTTATTTGGTTTTAAAAAAACGTTTCAATTAACATTTATAGCCTTCATGAGTGTTCATATGTGAAAAAATAATTAATGAATATAATCCAAAAATTACATATAAAATATTCTACACATAATGTTTACTGCATTACTCCACAGATCAATGTAGATAATTTTAGTGTTTAAGGAATAATGTAATTTTAAAAATATGTGGTCATCTTTTGATAAGTTTATATTAGTTTAGTAATTACAGTAAACATTATGAGGTGTGAATTATATATTGTATATTCTTAATTTTTGGATTATATTCGACACTATTTTTTCTCCTATGACACAACACTGATAGAAACCCTCATTCAAAGAAACGTTTTTAAACAAATCAAAAATAATAAACAAAAACAAATCAGCAGTACTAGTCAAATCTGAAAATCAAAATTTCAATCATTTTCCACTGGAAATACCAGCGATCTTCATTTCATAGCCATCGCTGACGCCTTTTTAGATAATATTGTATTATTTGTAAATATAATTTTTTCGAACATTGATACTTACAAATATACATATAAATTTTGTGAAGATACAAATAATAAATACATGCCTTACTATTAGTAGATATTGAATGTTTTTGTTAAAATTTAGATCGATTTTCAAACACCAAAATTTAAAATATATTTACATTTTACCCATTATCTTATGTACGTATACATTGTTTAACATTGTAAAACATTTTGCTGCATTTGTATGGTTCATAGTTTATTTGCCAAAGTATTTATTACTATAAATAGGTATATATGTTGTAGTTATTAACTGTATATTATGTATATTTCATGTAAACTATATCATTTTAAAATACAAACCAAAAATCTGAGGAATAATTATGTTTTCCATGTATTCTACAACATGACAGCGTGACGTCATAAATCTCGCCCGGAGGCTGATCTTTTAATAGAAGGCACTGGTTGAGGATACATTTAAAATACGCTATTAACGTGGATTTGGACGACAATAGGTAAGAACACTAAATTTATTTCTATATTCGATATAAACTTGTTTATTAGGTTTTTAGTTTGTGATGTTTCATGTGATGATCATTTTCATGTTCATCGTCTTTGAATTGACATGAGGATATCTATGGAAAAGTAACTAATCTGAAAGTAAGCCAACATATCGTTTGTCCTTTGTGTGCTAAAGAAAAGATTTTCTTTTCGCATCATGAGGAAGTATTACATCAATTAAAAAATGTTAGGAAGTTGATTACTTGTCATGGAAAAGTATACCAATGGAAATTATTTGTTAAAGAAGTATAATTCTAAGGGTAAATTTTATTATAATTAGTAACCTGTCTATTTTTTATACGTAGATGTTTCAGGTTTTAAGAATAAATTGGTTGAACCCAAAATCTGGAGGAAGTACCTATATCCATACACAGAATATGCCCATTAAAAATACTAGTCCAAATTTGCTTTAATGGTAGACAATTATTCAATACAAATTAACTTTTTAAGTGACTGAAATATTAAATAGTTTAGAATATGGTATAACAATGTAAAAAAATATTATTTTCAGGAACGATTAGGGCCCGATATATTTGAAACTCATGTTGGACATAGTATTGAGTTGGGTAGAATATTATTCTACGTTAAGTGAGGGTATCAGATACCTATTATTGTACTGTATTTTAATATATACATTAGAATTGTTGGTTTTTTCATATTTGTTTTATTTATTATTTTACTTACAAGTTATATAAAGTTAACACTAAAATCTACTTTTTGACTTATATAAGTTAGTCTGTGGTTTAATGCGTGATTACATCCACATGATTTCAAGTTTTTAAAATATAAATATTATAACTGGCTTTAAAAACTCCATTAAACTGTTAAAAGTGTAATTTATTTCAAAATAAATATACATATATAGGTATATATTAATATCGAAAAACATTTTTATTTCCTTAACACCAATTTAATCATCACATACATATGTATAAACATTTATTTACGTTATTTCAAATGAAGACCACAGGAAAAACCAGCTTTGTTCATTTTAACTGGAGCCGAGAAAATGCAATTACGAGTGAACTACTCTGGTTTTTCTCCTGTAGGGCAAAATAACTAAGCTGTAATATCTCTGGGACTAAGCATATTATTATTGCTTTCTTTGATGGTGCCTCGAATAATGCTAACACTTGCCTATAAAATTGTCTCGCTATCAATTTCTATGAAAATGTAACATATTATCTGGTTTTTTCCATGTAGTCTTCAAATGATCTAAAAATTCAGCAGGAATGATCCATTATGCAGCAAACACACTGATGTTGAATCATGGGAAGCTTTTTTGTGGGCATTTCACAAATAAAATGAAATGTCTGATCAAAAACTGAAAATGCAAAACAGATAGTAAGCTTTATAAATACATACATATATATAAATAATCATACCTACATCTATTTATGTCATTACAATGGTACAATCCAACCGATATTTTAATATACAACCCAAGTAAATAATCAAAATGCACTTTTATATCAAAAGCAAAGCAAGTAATGTTATCAAGGGTTCCAATTAATATCAGGATTTAAAAAAATGCAGTCTAATTCTTATTATTTTTCTAAATACGTATTGTCTGATGAGCAATTACAAAATATAAATCTGATGTAAATAGAAAAATAAAGTAAAAACTGTAAAAACAGGTAAAAACAACAACAAAAATTCTAACCAAAGATTTAACCGTCATACGACATGAGTATCACGTGATTGCACAATACCCAACGATAGGGTACGTACCTCTTTCATCTGATTGGACGGTTGGTTGCGTATTTTAATGTATCCTCATTTGCCTGCGCGTCGTATGTCTTCTGGCAGTCTTTTAATTTTTCTGTTTGTCTATGGCGTTTACTATACTGAGGTACCCAATGCCGACAACAAGTTTGTTGGGTAATGGTGTGGATCCGGTGGCTGACCTTGAAACGAGTTTTTGCTGCATATAGTCACAGACACTACGCATGCGCACATCTTCGATGTTGCCAGATTGCAAGTTATTTTGGAATTATTTTCAATAGAAAACAAATTTGTGCTTTTCAGTGTTTTTTTGTCAATATATACCGTATGATCGAAAAAACGTCGTCCAGTTGGCTGGGAAATGACGATTGAGGACATTTCCCATGTAAAATGACAGCGATCTTCATTTCATAGTCATCGGTGACGCTATTTTTTTTTATAGTATGCGGTATATTATTTATATTATTATTTTAATATTTCGCACAACACGTGAACGCTTATTATGTATTTTCATAGTCAATAAAATTATATAGAAATAAAACTCTAGATTCCTATCTAGATTATTATGTTACGTTTAAAAAGTGCTTTATTAAAAATTCGGGAAATTAAAAGGGATGTGTCCAAGTTTTTTCTTTTTTTTAAGCTGTAGCTCCATGTCATGTTCATAATAGGTTTTTTTTAACATTTCATCAAAACTACGGAGGCCTTAAAAGGCCTTTTAGCCTCCGTAACTAAAATTGTAGAATCAGCTTCAGCAACATTAACATCATCAGTTACCTTGTTTAATTCTGCTTATACATATATTGCATTAATTTTTTTGCTACCTTAAAATTTCTCTATTCTTACACCTAATTTATGTGATTTTCTTAGCATATATGATCTATAAACCATATTTTTCCTAATGGAAAGATGGAATAGGATATGCAAAATTAAGATATTTAACATTTATTTTCCAGACAAAGCATAATATAGTATTAAGATTAAGACATAACAAATATTATAAGAAAGATCTTAATATAAATCACAAACTAACCAAGTCTTAATTTGGTCTTGTATAAACACAGGTATAAAAATAATAAGATCAAAACTCAACCTTCACCATATTGTCAAGATTTGGCATTATAGGAAACAAAAAATTAGAGTAAATTAAGAAAAGACTATCAAACTACACGATATTAAATACTGTAATGTATTCTACGACACAAACCATCTCCCTTCTAAAGAGAAAAAGACATAAATAAAGCTTATTTTAGTCTTATCACCACACTCTTCGATAAAATATATGTCTAAAATTGCTATTAATCCGCTAACTTGATATTTTTAAGAAATTATGATACAAACATATTATAATCAAAGTATATATTATATTAGTAACATCAGAGAGTAACATTATAGGTAAAACGTTACCTCTATCTCCCATTGACTTGTATTGTTCTATAAGACTCGTCATGGTAGTACTTCAATACATCAATACATATAATCAGAACTATTGTTGCCTGTAAATAACTAGAAATTAAATAACTTGAAAGAAATAAAATAATTCTAATAAGTTTAAACCATTAAGAAAAAATCCGTAAATGATAATTTTTAATTCTAATGTAAATATATAAATAAATTTTATTAACATTACAATTTTATATATTCAACTTTATATATCATTCCTTAAGTTTGGATATCAAGATAAATCTGAAATTATAAAATTATTTAGAGAATTTGTATTATTATTGATTAACACTCAAAAGAAAATTTTCAACTGCAAATAATTCGAAAATAAACCGCAATTTGGCAACATCGACGATGTGCGCTTGCGTAATATTGATGATCAAATGCTGCAAATATGGGCTTCAAGGTCAGCCACCGGATCCACACCTTTACCGTTTGTTGTTTATTTTGGTAAAGACAAGGTAAAGATGTGGAGCAGGGGGGTGACAGTGAAATAGGAAAATTGGAAACAGTCATTAGTGTCATTCCTGTCATCTCCTGACGACAAGTATGGCCGCCTAGACAAGGACAGCATTGTTTTTGTCCAACTATTATCTAACTTCACAGTTAAGAATTGACAGATTTCAGTTTCAGAGACAACTTCAGATTTGTTCTAGAACAAATTCGAAAATATTCGACGCCATTTTAATTCATTCCGTTTAGTTTCGTTTTGGAAGTTCATTTAATATTTCGGCTGGAATTTATATAAATATAAAGGTAATAAAGTAATATAAAATATATATTACATGAAGAATCCTGGAGAAAATGACGTTTCTAAGTAGTAGGTATATCCCATGAATATGAAAATGGGTAGTAAATAAACCTGTTTTACATTTTTTAGATCACAAGAAACAGTGCCTTCTATTAAAGATCAATACAGGCGGACTTGTTCACTTCATCAACTGTACATACCCAGATATTGGGTTAGATTCCGTTTCATATTTTGTCGGTTGATTTTTAGTTTTAACTCTTTGATTTTTGGTATTATTTATTATTGTAGTGCAAAAAACTAATTATTTTGGTGTTTAAGTGACATAAACTACTACTAGATATATGGTCACTCTCGGTTTCGCATAAAAAATAGAAAAATTGAAAAATTACACGTTGTGTAAGTGATTTAACCTAAAAGTGCCCATACATTTTTTACTTATCGTGATTTTTGTGTGTGTTTTTTAAGACTCTAACAATTCATCAAAAAAACTTAAGTGGAGTGTGTTTTTGGTGCTATATATATCTTTGTTGTGTTCCTGGTGGAAAGGATAGTTATTCTAGGCAGCCTAAAGTGTCCGGAAGAGCAAAAAAAGTGGGTACGAGTTATAAATCAAGAGAATTCTATTGAAAATATCTTTAATAAATTTAAAAATAATATTCTCCCATGATGGTATTAATGAAAACTGGACAATTATGTTTATTTTATTCATAATGTGGAATCTCCACTCCAAGTGTTGTTGGTTCAGCTTCGATAGATTCAAACACGTACAGTACGTCTGTCCGTTCTGTAGCTACGGGGTATCCGTGGGAGGGGAAACGATATTTTCTCGATGTTTTTCGGAAAAAATTAGACGACGCGTCCCATCAATAAAAATTCGACAAATTTGCAAGTAGCCAATAAAATGAGTGGGCGGAGCGATTTGCGGTGACGTACTCGTCAAGTCGACGTATAAAATATATTGCTGTTTATTTAAATGTTTTTTGTCCGCATTCCTTTCATAGACGCAGATCCAGCAGACGTACTGTAAGTGGGAATAAATAAAGAATATGTGTATTAAAGATCATGAAAAAGATTATTATTTTGAGTTCAAATTTTAAAAAAGATTTTTGTAAAGACAAGACTGATACAGTTTAAAAGAAGAATGTGTTCTTGTTTGATAATATATAATGTATGTCAAGCACAACATTTGTTCAGTAATTTTTATTGAATAGTGTTGATTATTTATAATACCAAATTAATATCAAATATTTAAGTGATGGCTGAATACAATATGAATAAAATAACAGTAAAATTGGTATATTTGCATAATACAAAATTAAGTTTTAAGAATAAAGGTGTTACTAAAAATACTAAGAAATTCATATATCTTTGTTTTAATTGGTCTAATGTTATTTACATTTTACGTAAGAATTATACCGTATCATCGAAAAAAATCGGCGTCTAGTTGGCTTGGAAATGAACATTGATGACATTCCCTAAATAACTGTACACATAAAATAATTAACTAGAATTTTATAATCTTGGAAAATTTGATATTCTTGAACCTTGTTTCTAAATATTCTAAATTTTTTGATTTTGTTGGGATTTAGGTTCGGGAAAACGCTGATTAAGTTTTCATTTGGGTTTTCATTATTTTTATTTGGTTTAAAAAAAAACGTTTCGGCTAACATTATAGCCTTCATCAGTGTTGTGTCATATGAAAAAAATAGTGTCGAATATAATCCAAAAAATTACA